TGATAGCTGACCCTCCTGTGGTGTTTCTGTGACCCTCCCTGACTTTGCATTGTGACCTTTGACCCCTCCCAAGACTCCTGTCAGAGTAGGGCCAGGATGGACAGGACCAAGTGAACGGGGGTCCCCCATGGTGATACACACACACACACACACACACATATATACCATTTGCTGTTTACATCAACCTGCAACTTTTGTTGCCTCTTCTACCCCGCGTAAAAGAACCGGATCACTGGTCAGCGGGAGCAGGGAGTCTGCTGGACAAAAAAAAAGACTTCTGGAGGGTCCAGAGGAATGTCCACTCCTTATGCATCTTCTTCTCGTCTCAGATGGTGTCTGCCATGCCGGGCCATTAATCAGAGCAGATAAGCCAGTTCTTTATGGGCAGAGCAGATTTACGCCGCTCTGCTGGCTGACCGGACCCCATTCCCAGCAGAGGCGTGGGATAACTCACTCACGTCTTCCATGAACGGATAAGCCGGAGGGCGGGGGGCCTCAACAAACACACACATCCACTCTGGACATCATGACCTGGACAGGGTGCGTTCCTGAAATAGGCTTACTCAATTTATACCTTGATCTTGTCAAGACTTACACAACACTTAAAACTTAAAGTTGTAGCTTTAATTTGGTTGAAACTCCCCTTTTAATGAGAAGTCAGAGTAATGCAGGGCTGCCTAAAGAAGGCCATTTTCCGTCACTTACAGGAAAAAAGAAATTAGCCTGTTTGACACTAAAAACACGCACCGCCCAGGAGTGGAACCTACAACAGCACCACCCTTCACCATTACAATGCTGTTAAACATGTAATAGGCAGTGATTCTCCAGTCGACAAGCAACAAACTGCTTGTTAAACAACCGACTGCAGCATTGCCTAGCTACTAGCTAACCAGCTAATCCTAGCTTGTGATATTTTAGTGATTCCACGACCAGCAGATTAAGCAGAAGTTTATTCTGGGCTGTTTCAGTGTTTGGATCAAAAACCAGACAACAACTGAATGTAATGGATACCATTATTCATCATTATGTTACTTTAACAGCATTTGAAACAACTGGTTTTTGACACAATCTGGTTTTGACATAATCTCACGCTTATCTCCTATGTAAAGCTGGAAAAGTGCTTAGTGGAGGTTCCTACAGCAGCCACCCATGGCCATTAACTAAATGATAGTGTGTGTGCGCAGGCCGCGTGAAGTATAGATAAAACATGATTCTCCTGCTGCAAAGAACAACAACATTAATGTAACACCTCGACGGACGCCACATCCGATTACGGCTGACATGCAAACGTTACAGTGTATGAGCTAATAATGATCCCCCATCAGCCTCATGAAGGATTTGCAACTAGCTATGAGTCTGGAACACAGTGGAGGAAGTGTAAAGTATTCCTCTAGTTTGCATAAAACAAACATCGGTTAGACCGCCGCTGCACATAAGAGAAAAGAAAGCTGCACATAAAAATTAGAAGCAGCCCGAGATAAAGCTGACATTTTTATTTATTTTTTATTTTTTGCTTTAATGTCGGAGTTAGCGGCTGTCAGAGTGCCAGCCCACGCACATGTCAGGAATAAAGTTAGTTAAAATATTTATGATGTAATCAGCAGACAATATGCCGAGCAGCCCCACGAAGGAGGGAAAGGCGAAGAAAGTGACAAGAATGCCCAAGGTGGGTTTTCTTTTCCTTTTTGTTTTTGGGTGAAAAACATGTGGGCGCATTAAAAGTTCAGAGAAATATTTCCTTGAAGCCCCCCTGACATGCTGCCAGCGGAGCGACCACGAAAATTGTCGCTGTGATAACATCTCAAGCTTCACGCTTCCCTGCGTTCTCCCTGCGAGGGAGACTTCACAAATATTGATTGAACTGCAACAGATGAAAAGAAAAATTTATGTGGGATTTAATTTATTTAATTTAAGTTGCGCTTGTGTGTGTATTTTTTTTATTTTTCCATTTCAGAGGAGGATGTAAAAAGCCGCTTTAAAGCAGAGAAGCTGCAGTCGCATTAATGTTTTTGAATACTTTACAGACTTAAACTGAGACGCGAGGAGATTAAATCTCTCAAGTGATTTATTGATATTCCCAAAAATATTAGCTTAATTTGGCCACGTTTGATGGAGCGATGTAATACGCCAAGCTTCATTAGCCGATACTGGCGGTGGGTTCATTTTTGTCTCGTGGCCTGCAGAGCATCTATTGATTTCTCACTGTGCCAGCCATTCGCTGGCATGACACAGCTTGTTGCATATTAGTTCAGGCACTGCCTCTGAATTTGTGGATCATTTCTAATAGTTTTTACTGATTTACTGAAGAATCAATTTGAAATGTGGATGTGGCATAGAGTGGTGGTGTCCTGGGACGAGCTTAACGACGGGCTGTAATTAAAAGAAAAGAAAAGAAAAACGAGTTGAGCTTGGAAGAAATAATTTAAATGAGCAAAAGTTAGATAAAGCCTTCTTGATGCTGCAAAAACCTTGTAGTATAAATTAACAGCATGGTTCTCCATACTCATTTGCTTCCCTATGAACACAGCGACTGTAAATGTTTAGAAAGAGTATACTTGTTTTAAGCTTGGTTGGGTCTAACGAGAGCCAGTGTTTGGAAACTCAAAAATACGACCTCTTTTGCAATCAGTGAACGCGCCAAACTATGTGCTAACAGGTCGAGCTGACAACAGCGTTTTTGTGTGTGAAAAACATTCTTCGGTATCTGCAAGGTGCCTAAGCATGAAGTCAGAAGTAGCACAAAACATCCAAGAAGCTATTAAGGAGCTAGCGTGCCGAGGCATGTCGTGCTTGTTCAGACTGTGAGCGCAAGAACGCAAGACTTTCAACAGATAACAGGAAGGCTGATCGGAGTAGAGCGTATCAGGTAGCAAGATGAGTTTCAAAGTGCTGGCAGCCTTTCAGGGAATCTTAGGGTGAAAGCAAGGTCTACTGTAGAAGTATGACTCTGTCCTGTAACACGTAGATGTGTACTTGAACCAAAACATCTCAATCAAACGGCTGAGTCACTTTGTCACTCAGGTTCTCCAGTGTAATGCTAATGACCTTATTTTGACCTTATTGTCGAACTGAGTGAACACATTGCCAGGTTAAAGCTCCACGAAAACTAGAGGTTGGAAATCAGCTACAAAATTCCTGCCAGTGTAATTGTCTTTAAGAAACATTAATACATCCTTAAATTTAAAAACTCAGAGTGAGACTGGGGATTTTTGTGGTTTGAACCTTCTTGAATCCGTCTTCTACAAAGTTGCAGCTCATTGAATTAAGTGGCACAACAAGAATTTTGTTCAAACTCACTTATTCATTTATGCTGAATGATCAACTGTGTTTTACCTCTGAGTCTATCTTAAAGAAAATCTGTTCCTTCAACAGTTTCTCTTTTTTTTGTTACTTTGTTCTGTCAACCAAAGTAGTCTAGACTCCCAACGACGGTGTGAGAGAGGTGGAATTTTAACTGCAGTTACACAATGGTATATTCTCATGTTTTCTCAAGTGCTGGTTCAAACTTATGACTCACATTTCCTCCTGTCAATCAGAATGGTTGTTTAACACAACCCCATGTGAGAGCGAGCTGCAGGTTAGCTGGAGTATCAACAAGTAGATGTCAGGCATGGCGACCCAAAGCAAACACCAGCGCACAGTTTGGGATCCTTCTTAATAAACTGTGACTTATGTGTAAGGTTTTATGTTGCTCTACTCGCAGAGCTCCTCAAACTTCAGTAACGACACCCAGATCCCATCTCGGGCGTCTGCTGGAGATATCATCAACCTTCTGTTTGAGCAGGAACAATCTGATTGAGAAAAGAGGTTTACTCAAATAGATCTGTATGCCTCAAACAAAATCAGAAGTGAGAGCAGAGATAAAAATGGGCCTTTTTTTAATTTTTTTATTTTGGGTTTCCGTTTTCAGCTTGCGGCAGCTTGAGCTGGAGGGCTTTGATGAGGAGAAAACCGAGGCTCCTCTCATGCCGATAAAGCCAGAATCCTTTGAAGGCTGAATTATTATGTGCTGCTTGATTTTATTTCCACTGCATGTGAGACGTTCACCATAAACTTGACGTCTCGTTTTAAGACGTGGACTGTCAACATGAGCGCCGTGACACCATGGGCTCGTTGGGTGGACTGATGGACAAACGGACGGATTACATTTTTGTCAAACAGCAAAAGCCTGATTTCTCGAACATAATTTGGTACCTTTGCAAGTTGGATGGCGCAGTGGAGAGGATTACTTTCCTAGGCACAGTCCAGGACAGAATTGCTCAGGGCTTTCATTACAGACAGCCAAAACTGAAATCAGAACATGTCTGCATATTTGTCATCGGAAGTACTCATCTGTATGCTCTCGAGTCGCAAAGGTTTATCGATTGCATAAAATTGCATTATTGCATGTCTAGCTGCTCTCAAAAGAGCTACTATCAAGGTTGTATTTACAGCTCACTGATAATAAATTTGATAAATTATTTATGCTCTTTAGTCCTTCTGCCTTGATCCAAGACACTGATATCCTGGACTTTTAGTTTTATGTTCTCATTTTACAAAAAAAACAACAACAAAAAACAAGGCCTCATCAATTATACCTTAACAATGAAGCAAAAATAAGATAATTGTTGAGGCATCCCTAATTATGATCTTTTCTAAAGTGTAAAATAAGACAAACAGGAAGCAAAACAACTTGAAAACCTAAACAAAACTCTCAAAGTTCCCCGTTTGCATCTTACAATGATAGGGAATATTTAACACCGTAATCACTTCTGACCGCTTTGCCTTAAGCAAGGCACAGAAACTCCGGTCGTTGCTATGGGGCTGCCACGGCAGCCATTAAAATGCAATTTAACAAGGAAACTCCCGGGTGTGACTGTGTGTAACTGAGTGTGAAGCACAGAGATTATTACCCCTGTTGTTCAGTCAGGCTTCTTCGGCTGAACGAAAGCGAAAACGCCAAACGTCAACAAATCGACTCGTCTCTCCCCCCCCTCCTCCCTCCACCGTGACAAACTTACAGGTGATGTAGTAGTTGACATTCCTCTTGAACTCCAGGCCCATGTAGTTGGGGCTGAACTCCTGGAACTTGATGGTGAACTTGATGTCCTTTCCGGGCTTGTTGCAGTTCACCAGCACGTTGGGGTCGAGCACCGTGCTGCAGCTCTCCGCCTGCTCTCTCTTCACCAGATACAGCTTGTAGAACTCGTAATCTCGGCCCTGGTCCGCGCTGGGACAGATGATATCCAGCTTGTCCCCGATGTCCGGGTAGATCACAAGACCCTTTCCAGGAAGAAACCTGGAGGGAGGCAAGAAAAAGAAAAACGACAAATTGTTACTTCCAGATAAAAGGGATGGCATGTGCAAGCAGCCACATATATCAAGCAGAGTTTATATAGTGTTAATACTTTTAGCCGAGGGAATTACAGGTTTAGATTCGTCTGAGACAACCTGCGAGGCAAAAACGCTTGCCTGTTGCAGCTTGACTCGGCCTTCGAACAAGTCAACAGAGTGTCTCACACAAATCCTATCAAGATTTTTCTCATACTTGGACATGACTCAAAGCATAGCGAAAGTTAGCAAGAAAGGAGAGAGAGAGAGAAAGATAGAGAGAGAGGTGCAGTAACACAAAATGGCCGCTTCGGATCGGATTCTATAGAAGGAATGCAACAGATTTCTTTTTCATACTCTCGTTGTTTGGGGTAAGACCTGCGCTTTAGCATAATAACAGCGATGCTGCTACTTCAGAAGGTTGTTTCTGGAGGGAAAGCAGCGGTCAGCTGAGCGGGTTAAGGCTTTTTGGTACATCCACCAACACACCGCCGCACCACCACCATCACCACCCGTCATGATCATCTACTGGAGGATTAAGATAATCCATCTGACCTTACAGTACCTCTCCCCGTGGATTCTGCTGCCAACTCAATCAGATCGGCTTTTGTTCTCCTTTTATTCACTAAAGGTGGGGGACAGGAGGAGGCCCGGTGTGTGTAAATGCGTGTGAAGACCGGGGGGCAAAGGTGCACGGGTTTGCGACGGCGGTGTGTTTGGCCAGTGCTGGAGTGTGTGCGAGTGCTGGAGCGTCAACAGAAAGGGCTGAGGTTGCACTCCTTTTGGGGACGGAGGGTGGAAACGCACGGTGGGGGCAGATGGGCTGAATCATTGTTCTGGACTTGTTTGGGGCTTAAAACGTCAACATGGTTCAGCTCTGTTGTCCCAGTTAGCCAAGCATTAACCCAGACAGCCGGACTGACCACGGGTGTGTTCATGTATAAGCGCGAGTGTGTGTGTGTGTGCGTGTGTGTGTGTGTGTGTGTGTGTGTGTGTGTGTGTGTGTGTGTGTATGTGTGTGGTGATCGCAGACAGTGAGCCCAGCAGCGGGGCTATCTGCTCGATCTGCCCATGCCAGCGGATTTAAGGAGGATTTAGCAACGCGTGATGCATTTGTTGTTCTTTCTGATCCCTCATGGTATAACAAGACATCAGCGGCTGAAGGGGCGGTGGGGGGTCCCTCTCTCTGTCTGTGTCAGTGTCTCCCCTCTTTCTCCCTCTCAGAGCATAATCTCACCTTATCTGCAGCCCCTCATTTCATCATCGCACACATCGTTTCACCATTAAATAACCTGCTCTTCTCACAAGCAGAAGAAAAAGCCACGACCTCTTCCCGGAAGAGACTAATGGAGGAGTGTGTGGAGGGTAGAAATGAGCAGGCAAATCGTCCCGTGGCTGAGATGAGACAATTTTACGCTGGATCGATCCTGATCTGGGATTCAGAGGTCGGGAACCAAAGATATGATCTTTTTTTTATATCTGCGAATGCACCACACATAGCCTACCGCTCCTCACAGCTACGCTCTTCACTGCGGAAGTTGTTACAGAAGAAAACCGTTTTCACCATAACCGTGACTGCTTCCACTGAGTGGAGTTTGAGAAAGGAAAAAAGCTACAAGCAGCTTTGTTGAGGTTCCTCGAAAAAGGAATTGGATGTCAGGAGATACGAGAAAGCTGAATGCATGACAGCAAAGTTGTTTGGTTAGAATTCAATTCTGTGCCACAGAACATCCTGAATCAGCATTAATTTATCAATCTTACAGTTAAAGTTAGGGGCTATGTTCTCACATGGACACAGCGTGACGCCGCCTCTGACCTTGATGTTAATGATTAATAATCTCAGAAAGGCTTCTTAAGACTCCTACAAAGTTACAATGAATGAAAGGAATGAACAAACTAACACATTATTTCCAAAAAAAATATTAATTAGAAATTCTTTTAAGTTTTGTTTTATTCCAGTTACACAGTTTTAAACGGACTAAGTTTCAGAGTTATCATTGACCTCCAGCTTTTCAGTAGTTCCACCACCCATCTGGAAAACCAACCAGGAAGTTGACAGATGGAGGTATAACAAGAATGTGGCATATAGTTAGTGAAGAGGCCAAGTGCTCCATGGGGCCCTCTGCTGGCCTGGAGGCTCTAAGCAGCTGCCGCTGTAGCATGCAGCATGTTGGCTACCCAAAAGTAATTGTGCTATATTACGATTATTTAGTACATAAAGAGCAAAATTAGAAAATAATATTTGCCCTGGAGAAAAAAACTCAGCAGATGAAGAAATCTCCCACAAAATCTATGGTTGCTGCAGCTCTAGAGGGACCTCGAGGTTTTCTCCTCTAATGATGTTAAACGCTGGCAAGGAGTCAGGCATTGTTCTAAAAGATTCTCAAAGAGTCCTCTTTTTCCAAGGAAAAAAAAACCCCATGAAAATGAACATGACCGGATTAACATTCATGGCCATTCTTCAAGGAGGATGGGGGCATCGCCAGCCTGATGACTTCATTCACAGAGGATAGATGTGATAAGAAAACTACAGAAAACGTTGCTTCCCGACACCCGTCTGATTATGATGCCATGATGATAGCATGTGTGGAAAGCAGGCCCCCCTCTCCCATCCCAGGGCTTGGACGCGGGTGAGACGTTATTTCCCCGCTATTGTCTGACGCTCGCGGGTTTGAAGGGGAGTGGGGGCGGGTGGGTAAGGGGAGGGTTGAGGGGACGCGGGTTGTGCTAATTCAAGAGGCCGATAAGAGAGAGAACATGGGGTATCCCTTTGTCCTACTTCTAATAATTTGCTAGTGCTCAGCAGCAGCACTCTGCTTATGCCTGCTTGTTTTTTGTGTGTGTTTAAGCAGACATATGTTTTTTTGTGTGTGTGTGCGTGTGTGTGTGTGTGTCTAAATGCACACCGGGCCTGGATACACGTGCAAATGTCTATGAAGACACAGACACAATCAGCCTCTAATTGGATCTACAAGATGCATCAATGAGGCATAAACATGTCTCCATAGCAACCGCAGGCTTTGTTGCTGACCCCCCCCACCCCCCCTCCATCTCTCCATTCGTCCCCCCGATCTCACCCCCCCCCCCCCTCTATTTCCACTCAGCAATCTCATTCTCCCCTCCTTTATCCTTTTCCTCTTATTCATCTCCTCAACATTTCCCTCATTTGGTTTTTCTCTCATCCCCACCCGTCTCCATCCTCCCCCTCACTTTACAAACATGCACAAAAAAAAAAAAAAAAAAAAACACCTACGGAAAACACAGGAAAGGGCTCATTCAACAAGTAGGTTTTGTATTATTTGCTTTGCAGATTTCTCCTTTTTTGTGAAAAACCCCTCCACAAAATTGCTTCAACGTTAAAAAAGACCGGCTCTGGAATATAACAACGAGCCCCGTGTCCTGCTCACTCCATTGTCAGAGTCGCAATAATTTAGATGAACAATTAAGATTCTCAGAATCTTAATATCCTCATATCCTTGAAGGATTTATCTCAAGCCGGCTCCTGTCATTGATTCAATTTTCCGAAGCAGGCCTCATGGTTGGCGGTTAGATAGCTATCCTAAGTGAATTCTCTGCTTCTGTTTCCCAGCCTTTGTTAACTGTCTGCTATAATGAGGCTCTGGCTGCTGTGGAGGTCTGGAAGCGCCATCGCAGATGGGAAAGAAGCGGCATAAAAGAAATAGGGCAGCAATTAGTGTTTAGCCCAGTTTAAAAGCCCTCCACTTGGCAAGCTGCAGCCCAGCTCCAGTCCAGGATGTGAAACTAAACTGGTGGGCAGGGACTTTGTCTCCTGTTTGTCTCTCTGTGGGCTTAATCAGCACCACTCCGGTGAAACACACAGCCACGCCATGGAGAGGAGGAGACGAGTGACTGAACGTTATTGTATTTCTGAAGAGGTCGAAAAGGGAAAAAAAGGGGTTTGGGGGAGGAAGGGTGGATAAAAAAGGGGAGGTTGAATTGCATCTTTCATTCTCGTTGTCTGGAGACCCATAAGACCTGTTGATGAAAGAAGTCGGAGCGCACAGAGGAAGAGCTGTGCAGATACGAATAATGTTTCTGGGAAATGACCCCGAACGTGAGAGACAGCCTCGATCCCCCTCGTGTCAAACGAGGTGGATCTGCCGGCACCAAGCAAAATAGAACGGAGTCATTTTCCAAACAACCAAATGAGGTTTGGTTTTGTTTCATCTGGACAGCTCCGCAGCATGCTCAATCCTGTAAAGAGCTTATCCAAACAGACCTACGCTGCAGCACAGTGGAGAGAGAACAGAAAACAACGAAGCAAAAAAGAGAGGGCCCCCCCGCCACCCCTCTTCTTTCTTTTTACATTCCACTGGTGAATATGAGCACATGATCTCACATATGCTTCACCCCACACACACTCACATTCACACACATATATACATGTGGAGGCACACAAAAGCACCGTGGGGTGCATCCTGGACCTTCCCAGCCCAACTTCCCAGCCACCCCCCTATTCAAGCGTCCTGCCCTCGCCGACTTTCGGATAAAACGCCGCCTACACTCAGGCCCACTCAAAGCCCCTTACAGAGCCTCAATCCACCCCTTCCCCCTGTGTTTTCAACCCCCGTCCGGTCGACTCGAGCCCCTGCCCTGAGCCGCACTGGCAGGCAGCCTCTGCTGCCGGATGAATGGACCCGGGACCCGGGGAACCCGGAGAGAAAGAGGCTGGGATAGCTCATATCAGCTGAATGGTCTTAAATTGATTTGTTCCTCCTGAGCACCATCAGCGGCATGCTGTACATTTTCATTTAAAATATATTTTATCGAACTATGTAATCCGTCTCCTCCAGAAGATCTATAGCCTGCGGTTCCTGCAACAGGCTGTTTCTGTTTTCCTCTTGTGTTTCATGTTGGAACAAGCTCACGTACGCAGCCTCCCTTCCTTACATGATCGCCAGCACAACAGGTACTTTATCCCCTCAACATTACCATGGTAATTATCAC